TGCTACAAGGGAGGCCCCAGGTGAGTGGGGCTGTAGAACTGGAGCTGGCGGAGTCGTCGTCAAGGGAGGCAGAGGAGTAAAACTGACTGGCTGTAGAGCCAGTTAGGTCCCAGGCGGTGGTGGAATGACACAGGTGTAGGCTGAGTCTGTGTCACAGGTTGCCGAGGAGATGAGCAGGGTCGATGCTGGTTCAGAAGATTCCCAGACGATGGTGAGAAGCTACAGGTAGGTGGAGGTTGCTAGACTGGAGTCATGACATTGCATGTTGTCAAGGAGTTGGTGGTTCAGGAGTAGTGAGGAGAACAGGTGAATTGGCCACAGGACTGGAGGTGACTGGTTTACATAGGACTAAGAGGGGCCCACATTGCGTAATGGCTCCGTCAGGAGCAGAGCAGGCAGGACCGTGGAAGACAGGTGAGTGGCAGACACAGAAACACCTGATTGGCGTCGTCAGGTGCAAACCAGGTAGGGAAACCTTAAGGATGAACTCCTTAGGTCTTCGGCTGTCAGGATGAAGCAAGTGCAACAAAGAAAACCAGTAAGATATCATGAACTGCATAAAGGACCAGCAAGTGACTGAGGGAAAGAAGTTGGTATATATGGCTGAAAACCAGAGGATATTTAGCAACAGGTTGAGACAATGAAAACTGATTGGGAACCATGGAAAAGCTGGGGCAGGAGAGGTGGAACAGAGCAGGAAACTGCTACTCTACTTTCAGCTGTGAAAGAATTAAATATATCTGGGTGTCCTCCACGTAGCTATAATAAGTGACTCTACATTCCTGGAAAATTTGCAAAAGTGGAAGCATGTACATTTTGAATAGGAGTGGCCCAGTGACACCGTACTTATTTCAGATTCATAATTACCAACAGTGACTGGTTTGTTCCTCACTGGTTTTAGCTTCTGCTTCACTACAGTGTTTATCTTGTGTGAAAAGCGTGGTAGCAGTGCTAAATTGGTTTCATTAGAAGCAGAGCTGGTACTAATAAAGTGTCTGCTTAGGGCCCCCGTGGCCACCAGAGGCCCCCAAGAGCTCTTGAAATGTCACACAATCAAGCTTGTTTATGTATATGCGCACTGTAATGACGCGAGCACAGTCTGTCAAGGCAAGTTAATTGATTCTGTGTTCATGTCACACAGAAAAGGTGGGAGAGAAGAGTTTCCAGGTTTCTTTATCCACACAATCAGTTGATTTACATTTCAACCCAAATTTCAGCTGTGTAAAAGTCAATAACCACTGATTTCCTCATTGATCAGGATCACGAAGATCACAGGTTATAACAGGTCAAACCCCTGTATACCACACACCTCATTGGTCCATAGATGTGAACAACAACAACATCTGGTCTGCCACACAAACACATGTCAGTGTCATTATAGATTTCTTTACACATGAACAAAGTGGTGAGAACTAAATCTTAGTGATAAAGGAAAGTCTGGTGATTTCTCTGGAGGAGATACAACACACAAACACATCAATGCAAATATTCCTCCAACATTTAGAGCACAGAGAAGTTTACATTTTCATTTAGGCAAATGTCTGTTTACGCTCCAAGCAACAAACATGGAAAACTAAGAAGTTTCAGCTTTAAAATAAAGGTTTTAACAAACTGCATCTGAAGTCACTTCTGTCTGAGTTTACTGAACTCAGCTGTTTTTCCATAACCATAAAACCGAAGTCCAGCATAGAGAGGCTGAGTGAACGTGGTCTGGACTCTGTGGAGGAGAGTCATGGGTTCAGAGACACTGTAGAAGGACAGAATACCTGCTCTGTGATCCAGGTACACTCCAAGTCTGGAGGACCGAGGACCTGAGATGGGAGTTGGGTTGTTGTTGTAGCAAAAATTATAACTGTTTTGGTCACAATTTAATGCCCAAGATTTGTCATTGTATCCAAATAAACATTCATTAAACCATCCTGTTCTCCTGATATCCTTGTAAGCGACTGCTACACTAACTCTTTTCCCTGTCCACTCCACCTCCCAATAACAACGTCCAGTCAGACGCTCTCTACTCAGGACCTGCAAGCATCCAGTGAATCTGTCTGGGTGACTAGAATAAGACTGTCGTCGACTCATTAATGTTGATTTTCTGTTTCCCTCAGATAACAACATATATGTGTGTGCTGTGTTTGGATCCAGTGTGATTTCATGTGAATATCTTAAGAATCCAGCTTTGGTCTTATGCCCTACTGGTGACAATAAAACGTCCACTTCAGTCAGTGTCAGTGAGACGTTTGCCCATGTCTCCCTCAGAACGTCCTGTAGTTTCTCTCGGACTTCTGACACAGCTGCTGTCACATCCTCAAAGTAGCTCAGAGGACGGATGTCGATGCTGGATGAGTGTGTAGACTGACTGAGTGCTGACACTGAGGGGTAGTTGAGTAGAAACTGGGTGGGATCCTCTGTGTGTGAGAGCTGCTCCAGACCAGCGTCTTTCCTCTTCAGCTCAGTGATCTCCTGCTCCAGCTTCTGCTGAAGCTCTTTGACTCGACTCACTTCAGTTTCCTGCTGGGATCTGATCTGCTGCTTCACATCAGAGCGTCTTTTCTCCAGGACAGTGAAGATCTTCTCACTGTGCTCCACTGCTTTATTAGCAGAGCAGCTGATGGCTTCCACCTCCTGTTGAAGCACCTTCACATCTTTCTCTACGTCCTGGATTCTCTGCTGGATTTGTTGTCGACTCCCCTCGAGCTCCCTCTGCTTCTCATTCCTTTCTGCTGTAGCTGAGACTGTGTTGTGGCCTTTATGTTCATCCATAGTGCAGAAATAACAGATACACTGCTGATCAGAGCGGCAGAACATCTTCATCACCTCATCATGACGAGAGCAGATGCTGTCCTGGACCTTCTTGGAGGGCTCCACCAGCTTGTGTTTCTGTAATGGAGCTGATTCATAGTGAGGCTGCAGGTGTTTCACACAGTAAGAGGCCAGACACACCAGACAGGACTTGAGGGCTTTCAGTTTCCTCCCAGTGCAGACATCACAGGCCACATCTTCATCTCCAGCATAGCAGTGATCAGCAGCAGCAGCAGCAGCTTGGAGTCCAGTCTTCTTCAGCTCCTCCACTACAACTGCTAACATCATGTTTTTCACCAGGTGAGGCCTCGGTCTGAACTTCTTTCTGCACTGAGGGCAGCTGTGCATGTGTCTCTGGTCTTCCTCATCCCAGTGTCTTTTAATACAGTTCATACAAAAGCTGTGTCCACAGGGAATAGTCACCGGATCCTTCAGTATATCCACACAGATGGAACAAGAGAAGGCTTCCTCGTCCAGTTGAACCCCTTTCTGCGCCATTTCACCTCTCAGCAGCAATGACTGTTTGAGTTTCACTGTCTTGTTTAGTCTTCAAACTGAAGTTCTGAGGGGGAGGGAACCAGGAAACATATGGACAGAGTGGAGCTGTTGTGTCTGAGAGAAGAGGGGGGGTTACCAGGCTGGGCCTCATTCCAGGAAGTGGAGCGCTCTGACGAACACACTGTGGGATTAACCCTTTTGGTATAGTCAAGCTCATTTCAAATTCAAATTTAAATTCAAATTTTATTTGCATAGCACCAAATCACAACAAAAGTCATCACAGGACACTTTACATAGTAAGGTCTAGACCTTACAATTATTATTATAGAGAAACACCCAACAAACCCACCTTAAGCAGCACTTGGTTACAACAAGGAAGAAACCTCTGACAGACCCGGGCTCTTGGTGGGCGGCCTTCTGCCTTGACCGGTTGGGGTGAATGGATAGAGGGGAGAGAAAAGGAAAGAAGAGCAACAAGACACAACAAACACAACAACAAACAATCAAACACTGGGCAGGTTGATGTGGCCCGTGACTGCTCATCAGAAACTTAGAGCCAGGGCTACCTGCAGAAAGGTACAGGGAGAGAGAGAGGACACACTACGGGAGAGAGGAGACACACAGTTAGTGACACATAATGGTGGTATATAGATGCATGGAGAGAGAGGAGAGGAGAGTAGAGAAATTCAGAGCATCATGGGCCCCCCCCCAGCAGCCTAGGCCTATAGCAGCATAACTAAGGGAAGGCTCAGGGTCACCTGATCCAGCCCTAACTATAAGCTTTATCAAAAAGGAACGTCTTAAGTCTAATCTTAAAGGTAGAGAGGGTGTCCGCCTCCCGAACTGAGACTGGGAGTTGGTTCCATAGGAGAGGAGCTTGATAGCTAAAGGCTCTGCCTCCCATTCTACTTCTGTGGACTCTATGGAACCACAAGTAAACCTGCACTCTGAGAGCGAAGTGCTCTGTTAGGATGATAAAGCTCTACAAGGTCTTTAAGATATGATGGAGCCTTGTCATTAAGGGTTTTGTATGTTAGGAGAAGGATTTTAAATTCTATTCTGAATTTTACAGGGAGCCAGTGGAGAGAAGCTAATATGGGAGAGATATGATCTCTCTTGCTAGTTCCTGTCAGTACTCTGGTTGCAGCATTTTGGATTAACTGGAGGCTTTTTAGGGAATTATTGGGACATCCTGATAGTAAAGAGTTACAGTAGTCCAGCCTGGAAGTAACAAATGCATGGACCAGTTTTTCAGCATCACTTTGAGACAGGATGCTCCTGATTTTCGCAATATTGCGCCGGGGAAAGAAGGCAGTTCTAGAGAATTGGTTTATGTGTAATTTAAAGGACATATCCTGGCCAAAAATGACTCCAAGGTTCCTCACAGTAGTACTGGAGGCAAGAGCTATGTCATCTCATCATTGTCTTGTTTTAAGATCGTGGCTGCATGAGGGGTGCCATTGTGCACATAAATTGTCTGGACTGGTCCCCACAGAGGGTGCTGCAGGAGTTTCATTTTGTACTGACACATATGAAAGCATGTTAACGAGCAACGTGATTATCTTTTCTGAGCTGCAGTTTATAAACAACATTGCCTGTTTATTAAACCTAATAAATAGCTGTATTTGGCTGTCACTTTTCTCAGGAACAAAGTCACAGAACACAGCCCTGGAAGCAGCTGGTATGCAAGACACATACCAAAAGATGCACTGCCCAGCTAAAGGTAGCAAGACAGACCAGCAGACAGTGCACTCCAAGGTCGACTCGGCATTTGATATTTGTGGACTTCAAACTTGGAGAGGACAAAACATAATTTTACCTGATGAATACCTCTGTTGTTCCCACAGAGTTGTTAACAATAACACCTACTCTGACATGAATGGGAGACAGGGCCTTGCGTAATGTGCAGAGCCCTATGCAACTTGTGTTGTGAGCGTAAAGGCCCTCTGGCTCTGCTTGAGGGACATTTCAAACACTCCTGGGTACCCACTGGTGGCCATGGAGGCCCTAAGCAGGCATTTGTTTTGCTTAGGCATAGGGCAGACTCTGTTCCAGTGAGAGCAGAGGAAGAAAATGCTGTGCTCAACACCAAACACCTTCCGAACTACAGATTGACAAGAGGCCAGATAATGATAACTGCTTTTTATCTCTCTGGTACTGTATATGTGAACACAGCAACATAGCTATAGGCTCTGTGTTCTGACATTCTGTTTTTTTGTTTTACTGATATAACCACAATTTTAAAGCTGTTTACAAAAGCAAGTTGTACAAAATTAAAGTTTAAATATGTTTTTAAAAATGTACCAGTGGTGTGCACATTATAACTACACTGCCACACAGCTTGCATATTCTGTAAGGATGTAGATACATATTTTGGACATAGTTGAGGGAAGAAAGCTACCTGTCAGTTAGGTGTGAAGTTTTAATTTACAACTTTGATTGATGGCCCCGACGAGTCATGCCCCACCCACCAGGGCTGGCCCAGGCTCTGTTGGTGCCCTAAGTGCCACCCACATGTTTGGAAAGATTTCTTGCAGTTGTTTTTCATTCAGATATTGAAAAATCTCCATGGTGGTGATGTTGGTTGTTGGGAAACTTCTCATTTCCAGGACAAGTTGTTTTCCATCTATGTCTGACTGTTCACTGTGACTTAATGTGGTGCTAAGTGTTTCACACCGCTGTACTAGTTCTTCATTTGTCATCTTAGAGAAGTTGACAAGTACACCAAACTTCTCCTTCATCTCTCCCATGGTCTTGAACTTCCAGTGAGACAATGGCCACATCCACCACTACATTAAAAAATTCAGTCTCCATCCTTTTCAGTGCGTCACTGATTCTGACTCATCTGGACATTCATATGAGAACTGTTTACGTGTTGATCTCAGCCTTTTCTCCTTGAGAACAGCCGCAACATTCGTCTTCACACATCTCTCTTGCTAAAGCTTGAGCTGAAGCAAAGCCATTACCTCAATACTGGGTCAGGAAAGTTTTTGTTTTGCCAAGCAGGTCCACTGCCATGTCCAGTTGCAGCTTACTGACATTTTCAATATTGCTGAGTATGTCATACCACACAACTGAGCAGATACAAAAACGAAAGGATCCAATTTCCTCTGCTAAAGACTGAGCCTAAATTTTTAAGGCAGGATCGGTTGATTTTTCTTTTACCTCGAGTAGTGTTTCTCTTACCTGCGAGGTCTGGTATCTAATTGCTTCTACGCTGTTAACACGGCTCTCCCACCTGGTCTCTGACCATGACAACATCTATAAAAATGTAGAGCTGTTTGTTTGGGGGAATTAACGCTGACAAAAATCATGCACAATTTACTGTGAGTACAGAAACACAGCAACGGGGCCATGGACAGATATTTTGGGGGGGGGAGGTGATCAAGTTAAGAAAAAGGGCACCCCTCTCACTGCAAGTTATTTATTAAAAGCTACAGTAGCACATCATTTATTTATCTCTATGTATATATTTAGAAACAAATACATTCATGCATATATCTATGAAATTATCTGTTCTCACAGAGGCCATAGTTTTTACCAGACTATTCACTATTTGTAAAACTACATGGTGACAGTCATTGCATTACAAAAGTAAGCCCCACTAGACTGTAGCTGCCAGTGACTCAGCTACAAATGGCTGAGCTACTTTTTCTGCAGATCTGAATGGACTATTTGTCATCTGGCCATGTTCTAATAATGTTTAATGCACTGCAAGTACTGCAATGACTACAATCAGATTGTATTATATTGATTATATTTTCCTGTTATAAGCAAGTCAATAAGGCAAGGCAAGTTTATTTATATAGCACATTTCATATAAAAGTCAATGCCAGGGTACTGGAGAGAAGAATTCAACCGATAGTCGAACCTCGGAACCAGGAGGAACAATGCGGTTTTCGTACTGGACCAACTCTATACCCTCTTCAGGGTGGTGGAGGGCTCATGGGAGTTTGCCCAACCAGTCCACATGTGTTACATGGATTTGGAGAAAGCCTTCAACCGTGTCCCTTGTGGCACTACTGAGGGATGTCTGGTCCCTGTACAACCAGAGCAGGAGCTTGGTTCGCATTGCTAACAGTAAGTCAGACTTGTTTCCAGTGCATGTTGGACTCCGGCAGGGCTGCCCTTTGTCACCGGTTCTGTTCATTATTTTTATGGACAGAATTTCTAGGCGCGGCCGGAGGGAGTCCGGTTTGGGGACCACAGGATCTCGTCTCTGCTTTTTGCAGATGTTGTCCTGTTGGCTCCATCAAACCAGGACCTCCAGCGTGCACTGGGATGGTTTGCAGCCGAGTGTGAAGCGGCTGGGATGAGAATCAGCACCTCCAAATCCGAGGCCATGGTTCTCAGTCGGAAAAGGGTGGCTTGTTCCCTTCAGGTTGGTGGAGAGTTCCTGCCTCAAGTGGAGGAGTTCAATGATCTTGAACTCCTGCCTCAAGTGGAGGAGTTCAAGTATCTTGGGGTCTTGTTCAC